CATCTGAACAGGGAAAGTACTGGTTCACTTAGGTACAGGAGACAACATGATCCAGAATGCGGATTCTACTTTGGGTCAAAGCTGGCAAGAACTGGAGACAGGATCAAATGGTCCTGGAGGCAGAGAGGTTAGCAAGAGGAGTCAGCAGAGATCACATGCATAATTTCTGTCCTGTCTCTCCTCTGGGAACTTCAGGGTACTATCTGATCTGTTTCACTTTCCAAAGAGCTGCTCTGAGGCTCACTTGACTGGGTGCCAAAGAAAGGTCATTCATGCATAGAGAATCCATTTCCAGAAGCAGATCTGTTTACAAACTGGAAAGGCATCCACTAAAACAGGGGGAACAAAAGAGTTTTTCTTTACAAACCAGTCCCTGACCCTTGCCTTTAGCGAAGGTTCCCATTTTCTTTGGCAGGTTTTTCCTGCTCTGTAGCCAAGCACAACTGAGCTGGCAGAGAGCACGTCCTTGCTGGATCTGTAAAGCAGACGGCTGAGGTCAAACTTGCCATCATAGAGTAGCAGTTTGCGACATACAAAAAAAAGTAGCACTTTCACCTCAAAGTTTAACAATCTCTACACTGTTACACGTGAGAAAGCAGAAGATGGATTAACATTTGACAGTATGGTACATAAATGGCATTTGAGGGCTGCCAGCTGCTTGTTAGCTCCCCACAATGGAAAAATCACCTATAATAAACAGAAACTTGCTGTCCGGTGAAGTCAGGGAAAGAGTGAGATTATTTGGGAATCTTATCTTTCTCTTATACATTATTCACTTTTTTCAAACATTTTGACCCTTTATTGTATCTGATCTCTCGTGACGTTTTGAGCATAGTTTTAGAGTTTAGTTCTGTAGGAAGTTGTGCCCTGTAAAGTTGATGCTATCTCATTCATACTCACAGGATCCAAGGTGCTGCCAAGAACATTTTTGCTTCAGTGATCCAAAACCTATGCAAAATAAAAGGGCTAAAAATTGAGTGCAATTCCTAAAGTTTATCTTGTCCAGTGTATGAATTCTAATGTACCAAACAACTCCATAAAGCTTATAAATGTAGTCTAACCTGCATTATTTTTGTATTATGTCATCATCAACATTTTTACAACTTTTATAATCTGGTACTAGAGGATATTCCTAATGTTAACTTCCTAAAAGTAACTGGCTAACCATTCCTGTTAACGTAGAGATTGCCTACCTATTTTTTCCCCAAATGTTTAACTAGCTGAAATTTCTTAGTTTTTGCTTTTTATTGAATAATTAATCCATTGCAGCTATGATTAATTGTGTAGTAATTAATAAATGCAATGCTGAGTATTTTTACTTAAACTGAATGATAAAATTTGAATATGTAAAGCATCTTACTTCCAAAACATCTAAAATGCTCACCTATACTGGAAAGAGAATACTGTATTCAGATGTTTAAAATAAATCTAAAGGGCTTGTTTTTTCAAATGCTGATTAAAAATGACGGTTTCTGTGTCTTGTGAGAAGCGATTACACACAAACGTCAGCTTTTTAGAAATGTTACAGAAGTAGGTCTTTGGCTCTTTGGCCATCGAAATTTGAAGAATAAAGTAATGCTAATTCAAATGTATGCCATGGAAATAATTCAGTCAGAAAGTATGGATCTGAACCCTAGTTTTGCTGTTTTAGTTTTATATATGTTAATTTAACATCTAGTATGTACAAAAAAATCAATTAAATATGAGAGACACATAGATGAGTAAGAGGATGGCCCTTGTTCACAAGGTGCTAGGGAGAGAGAACAATTTACACAGCTGATCTCAGTTTTTGTCTCCTGATCTTACTCTGGGATTTTCATAAGGAGCTTAATAAAGGTTAAATCAGTTAATGGGGACAGTAATATTACTTGTTCCTGGTATATAATATATTCATTAATATTCTAATGGACCCAACCACTTCATTAAGTAAGTATGAAAACATTCTCGGAATCCAGTGCCTGTATTTGAATACCAGCTGGCTACATGGCTTTGGGTACACTACCTAACTTCTTAGCTTCTCAATGTACTATAAATTCTGACAATTGCCATTACTTCCTTTGTTGAAAATTAGACTGTGTAATAGTTCAGACCCAGTGTAGAATGTATTTTTATCACTGTTATATGATGTTTTTAATTCTTCGGGAAGATACTTAGAAGGGGAATAGTTGGGTGGAATGCAATTTCTGTTTTTAGATTTTGAGGACTCACCATACTGATTTCCATAGTGGTTGTACTAGTTTGCATTCCCACCAACATATAGAAGTATTCCATTTTCCCTGTTGCCTTGCTAGCATCTGTTATTTGATTTATTGATGATAGCCATATTACAGGGATACATTCATATCCATTTATAGCAGTACAATTCACAATAGCTGAAGCTTGGAAGCAGCCAATATGTTCATCAACAGATGAGTGAATAAAGGAAATATGGCATTTATGCACAATGAAGCTCTACTCTACCATAAAGAGGGAGAAATTTGATTTATTTGTGGGAAAATGGATGCAACTTGAGAGTATAATGTTGAGTGAAATAAATCAGCACACAAGTTTAAATATCACCTGACGATAAACCCAAAGCATAAACTATTACAGAGCAAAATAAAAGATCAATAGTAGGAAATAAGGACATGGGTGTTTTCCAAAAGGGAAGGGAACCAAGATATGGTGGGAAGGACAAGGGGTGAAAAATGTACATGGACCAACTCGCCATAAGAATGTAATCATTACAGACTGCAAACATGCACAAATAAAAATTTTTTAGAAAGAATGTACCACGTAATAAATACTCCCCTGAAGGTGATGGTTATCACCCTTTGGTATAATTTGTAAATTCAAAACTAAGAGGTTGTACAGAAGTTGTGCAACTGACTCATATAAGTTGCAGAGATGAAATCCAGCCAAGTCTACATTTTCCCCTCTCCTTTTATAAAAACATCTTTAGAGATATAACCATTGGATAACTTTGACGGATATTTACTGAGTGTGTCCTCAAGTCCAATTTCTCTGTTTTCTGTTCACATTACAGACCACCAGGTGAGCCGGGGTCAAGTAAGATCATGAAGCTGGAATCACTTATTGGACCCTAAGCATGCTGGTGTCCCCCTCACTGAGCCATGCCTGAGAGCTGAGCTCCTGGTGTCTGGTTTGCTTGTGTGTGTGGTGTGAATTAGTTTGCAGAATCACTCCCTAATGATGGCGGAGAAGTTACAAGTACCTGACAACCCCCAAGAAGGCCGGGGGAAGATCAAGAGGGACATCCTGAGGTATACCAAGAAGGCCTGGGTTCCTCTGGATGAGCAGCTGTATCCTGATCCCAAGGAGGAAAGCCAGACTGCCACCGTTGCCCTGCTGGGTGAGCAAGGCTCTCAGGAGAATGTGAGAGAACAAAAATCTGTAGGTGATGAGGAATATGGGGCTTACAGCTAGCAGGCAGATGAATTCAGAACATAGACTTTGCTTTGAAGAAAGTTCTATGAAATAGACACTTCTGACTTTGCACACACTCAGAACACAGACTTTCTTGGCAGAAATAGATCAACTGAGGAATGAATTCTGCTTCCTTTTCATTCCAACTCCACCTCATTTTAAGTCCCCAGGATTTGCAAGCTGTATAGATCCACTCCCTTGGGCAGAAAGCTTCTTTCAGGATACCATGATTTTGAAGACTCTTGGAATTGTGCATGTAGCCTTGATAATAATGTTTGTAATGTAAAGAGTAATAAGTAAGAAAATACTTCTCCCTCCTTCCCAAGATGTAACTGTAAGATGGCTTTTCTTCTTAGCCCCTCATCAAATTTATTCTACCCTTTCATGTTATCTTTATTGAAAAAACAATCTGCACCTCTCAGGTCCACCGGCTTTCTTGGTTCACCTGATACTTGTGAGCAGATAATGCAGGCGCCCACTGCCTGGTAGGATTAAGTCATAGATCATCAGCCAATAGCAGACAGTAGCTAACCTGAATGTAAATAAGTATTTTACAGGAAATGTTCCCTTTACGTCCTCCTGTTTTGCTTATTTGCTGAGCCAGTGCCAAAGACCTATCCTTAAAAGATGTGCCTTTTCTTTGGTTTTTCTCCGGTACCGAGAACCGAACTCATGACCTTGAGCTTGCCAGGCAGGTGCTTTTGCCGCTGAGCTAAATCCCCAGCCCAAGATGTGCCTTTTCAACACAGTGCGCCTTCGGCAATCCAGGGACTCTAGTGCAATTTGTCCCTGGAATGAATGCAAATTTGGCTTCTAACCTGGCAGAGAATCCTTGCAAATAAACATCACTGGCTGGCTGCTTAGGTAAATGTCCTGATTCAGTAAGGAGAGGCTCTGTGGTGATTTACACCTGACAAGAGAAAGACAAATGTCTCAAATGCTTTTTTACCCTTGTATACACCAGGTAATAGAAAAATTATTCTAACATCTCTTGCTTCTTACTGATTTATTTTTCTGCTCTAACACTTTCTTTCTTTCTTTCTTTCTTTCTTTCTTTCTTTCTTTCTTTCTTTCTTTCTTTCTTTCTTTCTCCTTCTCTTCCTTTCCTTTCCTTCCTTTCCTTTTTGAGTTCCTCTTGGCAACTTTATACTGCATTCTCAGGAATGGGCAGTTATAGAAAACAGGAGGTTGGGCCTTTGTGGGAAAAATGAATAAGCTTACATGTGACTAAATATGTAGGAAATAGAACTATTGAGTGGTGGCTGAATGATAGTGAAGTTATTTTAGTTGGTTGTGCTTTGACAACTGATCTGTTTCTTTCTTAGCTATAGAAGATTCCAAGAGGGAAAGTATCCAGCAGTGGCTGGACTCTGGATTTTTGTAAGTGTTTCTCTGTGCTTTATACATTTCTCTTATAAAGATCTATGCAAACAATGTGCATACCCTGCTGACCAAGGTGGGCTACATAGAGATTTTAATATTAATTGTGTACTTACTGGCTTATTCTATTATTGTAAAAGCAGTATATCAATAGTTAATGCTCAAATTTTTTGGACCAAATTTACATGCTTATATCTGATAGTCTGAACAACTACTTTAAAGACAACAATATGCAATAAAACAACCATTGTTGGATTCCTAGCATCTTGTTTTGTGAAATTCTGTATCCTTTCTAATGTTTTCTTCATTCTCTTTAAAATAAAAAATTAAAAGTAAAAAGAAAGATTTTAAAAAGTACAGAATAGAATGTTACTTTAGTGCCTGACTATCCATTGGTTTCCAAAAATGCTCTTTTAATAAACTAACTCTGTGCTTGCACTCATCAGTTTAGTTTAAAAACCAATTCAGTGTAATTTATTTAAACCCATTATTTGACTCACATTTTTTTTCTTTTATAGTATCTCTGTAAATGAAAACGTTCAACAACTCATCAACCACACTGGTAAGAGAAAAGAACCCAGAAGCAGTTCTCTTTCCTAGAGCTGAGTGAAGATGTATGCGTGGAAATGTATATAAATGTACCTTCCTAAAATGAAAAGTATTACAGGCTCTAGGAGCAGGTCAGATCTCAGTCCTTTCATCTGTTTTTTTTTTTTTTTGTTTGTTTTGTTTTGTTTTGTTTTGTTTTGTTTTGGTTTTTCTCCGGCACCGGGAACCGAACTCACGACCTTGCGCTTGCCAGGCAGGCGCTTTGCTGCTGAGCTAAATCCCCAGCCCCCCTTTCATCTGATTTATAAGGCTGAGGCCCCAAAAAGACAGGTGCATCTGCAACAGCAAGTTAGGGGCTGAAGCCAAGGCTCTTGCCATATCTTCAACTCTCAGACTGCAGCAGGAAACTGAATGGGTTCTACAAATACACTGGCAAAGATATAAGTACGGAAATGAAATTGTTTAATTCTCCCTCATTTGTATTGTGCTTTGACTTCTAAATCTACTTTTTCTAATTTTTCATCTCAAAATTCTACTTATAATGTCTCTCTCAAATGATATATTTGTTCTAGAGATGAACAAATGATTGAATTGTAAAGCAAATAGTGCAAGTATTTCTGAGACAGAAAAATGTATCACATTTGTTTCACTGAGTTTTGATAAGAAAAATAATTTAATTTCAGGTCTTTTGGATTCCATGTTTATTAAATGGAATTCTGCTTTTGTTAGAATCTGTGGTCTCTTAATTAGAAAATGTCCTTATTTTAAAAATACCACTCAGGTTAAGAAAATGAACCCTGGTGATTATAAATAAAAGACAGTAGTTATTACAAAACACATTTTGATTTCATAGATGTTAAAATGTGAGAAAAGTTTTAATATTGACTAAGTTCCATAAACAATATATATAGAAAAAAGGACAGATTAATGAGTTTAATGATTGGGGGAAAAATTAGTAGTAGTTTAATGATTGGGGGAAAAATTAGTAGTAGTGACTTACTTTGCTGGTTTTAATTCTTTTACTTCCCCCACTGTTGTCTTATGTGAAGCTCTACTACTACCTACAAAAGTTTATTTAAATTTGGGATTTTTTTACTTTAAAAAAAAAGTGTATTATTTGAATTTCTTTTTCATCGAGCTGCTTTATTTTTTCAATATGAAATTCCATGATCCCAAAATTTCTAATGAGTTTTTTCTAATAAATCCAGTGTAAAAAGCTCTCTGCTCATAATAGTCCAAACTCAAGGAGGGGACTAAAACGTATGAAATACAGCCAGTATTTACTTCATAGTCCCCAACATTGACCTTGCCTGGGTCATGGTGAGAGGCCTAGCCCTAGTTTTGAGGTGTTCAGTAACCATACTAATATCCTCACACAGAAATTACAGACAAGTGATGACTTTTCATCTGAACCAAATCGTGAACTACAAAGTCAGCGACAGGAGATAAAGACCTGGAGAAAAACAGGGTCATCCACAAGCATGTCTCTGAGCTTAGAGGGCCACAGCTTCCACTGGCAGCTCTTTCATCTTCAGTAAGGCCTTTAATAATAATGGAATAGCTTCTTACAAATTCAATTGAGCCTTTACTTTTACAAGGCCCTCTCTCATCTATCAAATTTTTAACTCAGTGACCCATGTGGGCACGTGCTTAGCTCTCATTTCTGGTTTGCAAGTGAAGAATCAGAGGCACAGAGTTGTGAAATGCTGTGATTTGAGGTCACAGCTGATTAAAAGCAGATGGAGAAGCTGGAAATCCAGGCTTCCCTGGGCCTCTCGGTGCTCTGACGTCAGCCGTGATGCCAGAGATACACCCTGACTTTAGGGAAGCCCAAAGTCACACTGGGCAGCGTGACTTGTCAGATCCTAAAAGGTTATAGAGTGAATTAGCATTCATTTCTGAGTCAAACAACAAATCACTGTATACTTGTTGGCTTAAAAACCAGAAATTCATTCTCTCATAGATAATGGAGGTTAGAAGTTCAAGCTCAAGGTGTCAGCTGATCATTCGGCTTCTGGAGAATCTCTCCTTGCCTAGCTTCCTGTGGATCTATGACATTCTTTGACTTCTGTACCTTCCATCTTATGACTCTGTCTTCACATGGCCTCTTCTTCCTGTAGGATGACTCCTCTACTTGTAAAGACACCCATCATTGGATTTAGAACCCACCCTAATCCAACTCACAGCATTTCATTCCTCTGTGCCAAGTCTCAGAAGAGATCAGTAAGGAAACCAGCCTTGGAATGAGGCTCACTTTGAGTGAGGAGAGTAGTCATCTGCCTTCATTTCATTTCCACCCAGAACACAAGAAGGACCCCTTATTTAGAACTTAGGTTTTTGCAAATGCAGTTAGATAAGATTTTAACTATCTCTTCTCATTACATTCTTTTTTTCTTCATTTTTCTTCATCCAACTTCTCCTGTCTTAAAATCTTTCTCGTTCTGATAAGCTCTTCTCCTACTTTTGAGGCCTGACCCTAAGTTCCATAGTCTGTACAAGGGCCTTCCTGACTTCTGCACTGAGATGCACTTTCTTTTCTGAACACATACAAAAATCCTTTCTTGGTTCTATCTACATGGCACTTGGTTTGTGCTGCTTCAAGTTATTAGGAATATGATGCTTCTCCTTGGTGAAATTGTAATCCTTGCGGCAGTTTCTAGGGTAGGAACTATCTCTAAATCAGCCAATTGCACCAAAACTAGTGAAGTTGATGTTTTCAGATTTGAAATCTCAGATGAGATGAGACTTGAGCTAGTCAATGAAATAGGATATAATTTTAAAAATCAAAGGGGCAAAGCAAGAAGTAATCTGGTGGAAGTCATAGGAATTTGAACAAAGGCACAGAAATGAGAATAAAACTAAATGCATGTGGAAAAGCACTGGAAGGAGATGAGAGTGGAAAGATGGTTTCATACTAGGGAGCAAGACAAGTTTTTTTTTCTGTTAGACATGCTCAGATAATAAATATCTGAAGATCCAGAAAGAGAGAATCACACTTGATGTCATAGCACTGGGATGGTACAGAAGTATCATTTCAGGTTCTAGTTAAAAGGGATGGGAAGTTGCAACTGGGGTCTGGGATGAATATGATTTTGATGTCTTATCTCTATTTATCTGAAAGGGAGTCATGAATAATTTATGATAACAATTAGTGATAACTGATACAAGTGCAGGGTGAAGGAATAGAAGAACATGCATTACACCTTTGCTGTCTCTATTTTGGCAAGTCCTGAAGTCACTACAATGAGGAAATTAATGGCAGCTCCTAGTGTCTATCCTGACAGTGAAGAAGGTGCACTGCACATGTTGGGAAGTCATAGCAGACTAAGCGTTGATGAAACAAGGACTTACCCTGGAGGTCAGTGGGATGGGGAGGAAGAATTCACACTACCTGGAAAATCATTAGATATGGGGGGAAGGGAAGCAAAGCATTCCAGTTAGCTTCAAGTTTTTAAGCATGAGTCTTAAGTAGAATGTGAGCATCTCTCTTTTTTTGTAAGAATATGGGTTAAGAATTTGTTGTCTGCAGCAAACACACACTGCTCACTGCCTCTACTGAGTGTACTGATCATGCATGAGTTAAATGTGCAGAAAACTGCAGAATGCTATTATTTTAGAGCCCTGTGAAAATGTAATTTGATTAGTCTATTGGATGATATTCCAAAGAACCAAATGTCTTCCATGAATCAGTCAGAAATGCTTAGGAAAACCAAAATAAAAAATGCTTTCTAAGCCAATAAAGGTGCTAATTAGTGCCTTCTGCATATCTAACTACATCTTCTCCAGTAATACATTTTGCAGGGTTAAGTGTGGTATCTGCTGCTTCAGATGGCAGAAGTCCACCTAACAGTAGGGAGGGTGCCTTGAGACTCAAGTATCTAGATAGGAATCAGAAATGGAATTTCATCCCATGGAATGGGATGTATTCAGTAGAGCAAGCACTTTTTTTCCCCTCACTTTAATTTTCCCCCAAAACAATGCTTAGGAAATGCAACAATAGCAGGACTTATTTTCCTTTTCCTCTTCTCCCTCTCCTTTTTTTTTTTTTGGTTTTTTTCTCCGGTACCGGGAACCAAACTCACAACCTTGCGCTTGCCAGGCAGGTGCTTTTGCCGCCGAGCTAAATCCCCAGCCCCTCCCTCTCCTAATGCTTTTAGAAAATATAATCTGATATTTACAGCCTAATCAGGGTATCCTGAAAAGAAAAAAAAGGCAGAGAAAAAATTGAAATAAACAAATAGAGAAGTAAGTGTGAAAATAAGGAGGACCCACCTATTAGAGATTTCTATGGTGGCAGAGGTCCATCTATAAGGGTCCCACCTTCTGCCTGAGGAAGTCCCAAGCTTGATGCCTGCAGAGTTCAAGGAAATCTGGGAGAACAGTAGCAGTTTGTCTGTCCTGAAATGGTATTCCCTATTCTGCAGAGTCTTTCTCTCATCAGAGTATAGATTCAAATGCTTCTAGGAACCAGGAAGATAACTGCAAATGAAGGAACCAGGCAGAATAGAAACTGCAAAAAATCAGAGAGCAGATCACAGCCCTAAAGTCACCAGGGCAATGCTGCTGGCTCTCCAACATTTTAAGGAAAGTCTAGGAATCCCAATTCCTGTGCAAAGTGGCATACGGTGGGCCACCAGTTTGGGCCTCTCCATTCAAGTTCATTATTGATAATGGGCCAAGGGAAGTGGGACCTGACCCTGAGAAGCCCATCCTCAGGCTCTAGGAAGTTTATCTTACAAATTAAAGGCAGCCTCCTGGAGTGCTGGAGGAAAGGACATTCCTAAAGGTAAAATGAAAGAAAAATAAAAGCTCTCCAAGCACAAGGGATAATCGTTTCACACTGCCCTGTGCAAGGCTGTGAATTGCCTGTGTCCAAGTGCTGCAAATGCCCATTGCTGTTTCCTCAAAAATCAACACACACGGCATTGCCGTGAAAATAATACTTGATATCCAAGGATGCAGAGAGCCTGGGAATGTAAAATGGAAACCAGGAAGTGAATATAGTTAACTTTAATAATTGTATCACAATTTTATAAATAAGGCCTATCTTGTGAGCTTAAAAAAATTATATTAATTTTCCTTGGCATGTTTCCCTCCAAAAGATAAGCTTGTCAGCAGAAAGGCCAATATCTGTAGATAGACATTTGTGTCATTTTCAGCATCAAGAAGAAAGAGTACGAGGAGTCTAGGCAAGAATGTAAAAGCTGTATCTGTACCTCAGTGAGAATGGGTCTCGGGTCTCAGGTCTCAGTGAAGAGTGAATGCTGTCATTCCCTAATTGTTCCTGATGGCTGGGCCTCACAAGGTGCTAGCTGAATGGCAGAAGGTAGGAGGTCCTTCTCCCAGCTGGGGCTAAAACCAAAGGGCCATTGGACTAGAAAACCTCCCGCTGAGACCCAACTGGGCCCCACTGCAGATGAAAACATGTCACGTTTAGGAACTTCCTTTCCTCCAGCACTCCAGGAGGATGCCTTCAATGATGGCAGGGCAGAGAGGTGTGGTCCATGGGGACACTGAGATCCTAGGCGGAAACCCTGGGTAAAGGGCTCCAGATTCTAGATGACTACATTTTTCAGAGTGGCTAGATTTTCTGGAAGGCCAGAGTTCTTGAAAATTCAGTAAGACTAAGCTACATCTTTTCATCAGTATCTGAAAACGGGTCACTTCCTCCAACAATGTCTGCAGTTTACTGTGCCGCAGCATGAGATCCCTGAACTGTACATGCACATTCATTCACACTTCCTAGTAAACCCACAGCAATAGGTGAAAATAATAGAAGACTGAGGCCATGACAGGAGCACTACTATTGGCAGAGAATGCAAGCAAATACCATAAAAGTGTAATATTTTAGATGAGAAATTCTCAGAGACTCTCCAGAATTCTCAAGATGAGGCAAAAATGGAGGTTCACTTTGTGAGTTACATATAAATCAGTGCACAGAGATAGTGCTAAGAGGAATGGTGACAGAAAATAATGGGGGAAATGTCTTGAAATGGTAAATATTTATTTTACCTTTCATTTGGGCAACTTATTATTGAATTAATCTTGTCAGCAAATCTTTGCAACATGATTGTCTAAAACTTATGTTTGCACCTATGAGATTAATAAGCTAGTTGATAAGATTTTTCTTCATGTGACAACTTTAATCATTTGCAGTGGTTTTACAAGTTTGAGAAGTTCTGGGGTTGATACTGAATAGAGGGAGCCTAGTAAACAAGTGTGCTGCTATGCGTGCCTGAGTGAGAGATCTGTGTTTTGCAGTGATGAGTTTTCCAACTCTGACTCTTGGAGATGCCTCACACAGTAAAGAAAGAGTAAAATGGAAGAACACGTTCCCTGGAATGTTTTAAGAAGCAATCATATATTGTCTTCAAGTTATTGACCTCTGAAATTTACATACATGTTCCAATATTACTGTATTTTTCAAATACACATAAAGTTTATTCTCAGCAAAAGAAGGCAAATGCATATCATATTGTGACATACTTCCATTCAGATGTTGGTGTGTTTCCTGAAGATTCTGAGAAACTGGTTGGAGTCAATGAGAAAGTGATTAATGATGTCCACTGTGGGAATAGATTTGAGTGAGAGTAAAGCACAGACTTCATCTGTATCATCATGGTGTATTTCAACCTTTGAAACAGATGAATATTTCTCACCCTATCTGACTCTTGTGATGACAGAGTTTGACTTGTTCTGTAGGGTAGACATATACTTGTATATCTATTTTCTTACCCCATCTTAAAATTGTGGTTGTATATTCTGGCTTTAGATAAGAATTCACTCACATCTCAATGATATATCTCCAACCTTTATCTTTCTAGACCAGTGTTCCTTTTTCTTAGCAAAATAATTCAGCCTTTTAGAAATTCATTCAAAATTATAAATATTCCTAACTCTGCCCCTACATTTCACACACAGAGAAGTTCATAGATAACTTGAGGTCTATTCATAGATTCTCTACACAGAGAAGAATCCTGAACTCCCAAGTACAATACTTTATTATTTTCAGTATTCTTTCATGTTTCAGTTACTCAAGTTTGTACATTTTGTTTCTCCTAAACCTTTCTTTTTTTTTTTTTTTTTTT